TTAAAAAAATAATTTATAATATTAGTAATATATCTTCATTAAGTTACAAATAAATTATTTTAACTTACTTCTTTTAATAGTTCTAAATGCTATTTCTATAGGATTAAAATCAGGTGAATATGGAGGTAAAAAGATAATACGACAACCAAGTTCTTCTATCATTTTAATAAGAAATTCATTATGATGGATTTTTGCATTATCGAGAATAATAACATTATTTTTGCCTGGAAAAGGATTCATAATAGGAATCTGTTATTAAATAAATAAATATTTATTTATTTTATTATAAAAAAAGAAAACTTTTTTAAATAGAATAAAATTTAACTTACTAATTGAGATAAAACAAATTCACAAAAACGTTCTTTATTACAACTACCTTCCATAATATCAACTGCCAAAATACTATCTAATGAAAGAGCTGGTACAATAGTATATCTTTTTCCACGAATAAAAGAAGTATTTTTACATACACGAGTATTTATAGGTGCATAACCATAAAGTCTATTTAAACTATGTTTATCTTTTGCAGATTCATCCATAAAAATCAATTGGTCAGATCTATAATTTGCTCCGATATTATCAAGAAATACACTTCTAAGAAGCTCATTTCTTTCAGATACCATCTTCTGTAACTAGACAAAATAATTATTTATTAATATTATATTTTTAATTAGAGATTGGAACCAACTAAAGGTGCGGACATTAGAACATGAAATAACATACGTCATAGTCGTAACTAGGGTAGCTACCCAAATTTTATATGATGTAGGAGGGTAGCTACCCTTGACCTAACAAATGTCCACACCTCTAGAACAAACTGTTTAACCATATTAACTTATGTTTAAATTATTATGGCTCATGACCAACATAATTCAGTTCAAACTATGAAACAATTTTTATGTAACTAAATAGTTACAATTCTTATTTTTAATTTACCTTTTTGCGAGTAATACCACAATATTGTAATGATCGCCATAAAGTTGACACGGAAACTCTTTTCTGTGTGTAATTTTCCATTTCAAATAAAAGTTCATCAAGATACCAATCTACTCTCACTTTAATAATATATCTTAATAGATTTAATTCCTCACGTTTAAAAGCTTTCCTACGACCTGTTTGGCCTTTAAAAGGAGGTTTGACATATCTCCATTTTTGAAAATTACGTATTATTCTATATACAGTAGATTTGCTAATATAAAGAATTTTAGCAATATCTTTATTGTTATAACCGTCTGCATGTAAATAAGCAACTCTCCATCGAAGATCCTCACTAAATTCTCGTGGCATAATAAGATTCTTGCGAGTTAAAATGATGAGTTTTTTTTATTTAGGACAAATTTCATATAAAATATACACCCTTACACTACTTTTTAAAACTTGGGTTACTTTGTTATCCTTTTCTATACTAATCTTTATCCAATAGGTTTGTATTTATAGCAAACAATAGAATATAAGGTTTTATAATAAATGCTACATGAAATTCTTTATAAAATCTAATATTGAGATTTTTTTTGCCTAATACCGTACAGCGCTGCTTACAGTACTCCTGGTCTTTTTTAAAAAGTACTGGTATCAATTAAATAGTACCCCGAGATACTTTTCAAAAATATTAAAATTTACAATTGAATAGTACTCCGATATTATTCAA